AGGAATTGGAATAATGGCAGGAATCGGGAAAGTCTGAACTGCACATGTGCCTTGTGAATGTAAAGATTTTAATTTTAAGAATCTAAAGATTTAAACCTGATTTAATTCATTCATGTGGTAAATGAATTGCAAAAGTCACTTCATGTCTTTGAATGGGAAATGAATTTTTATCATCTTTACATAACTTTATTGGAAAACATAAAAAAATTCCTCCCAGGGTATCCCAGATTGTGGATCCCAAGTGAATCCTCTGAGAGGTGAAACCCTGGCAGTGTTTCCCCACAGGGATCACAGACAGGTGTGCTGATGTTTCCTCTGATTTTTATCCACCTCAGAATCCCAAATCCATTCCCAGGTACAAGTCCAGGGTCAGCTCTCCTGTTCCCACTGTGGAGCAGGAGATAAAGGAGGGATTTCTCACATGGACAAAACTTTTAAGACCTGAACATTTGTCCTTTGTCAAGTTTCTAGTCTAGGAGGAAAAGAGAAATGGGGAATTCTCAATTGGGTCTGGAGGAACCCATAAAGGGGTTCCTGGAGGGATGCCAGGGGCTCAGAGAGGCTCCTCAAGGAAGGCAGGATGAATTTTCAGAAGTGTCCTGCCTGTCAGACAGGGAGAGGAGAAGTGATGCACATCTTCAATTATTCAGGTGATTGGCAGGAGTTTAATTTGCAAGAATGTGAAGTTTTCATGAAAATTTGAAGTTTTCCTTTCACTTGAAATCAGTCTGGGCTTCAGTCAGGCTCTGATGCCCTGCTGCCAAGGGTGCACATAAAAAATTCACGTTGCCCTTCCATTGGTTCCTGAGCATTTGTGGTTTAAAAGTCATTGGTTTCACAATGAATGGATCCAGACCCTCAGGGCTCTGAGGATGAGGGAAGAGACATGGAGGATCTGACTCCAGGTTTCAGAAGGCTGATTTATTATTTTATTATATATATTATATTAAAACTATACTAAAAGAACAGAAGAAAGGATTTCATCAGAAGGCTGGCTAAGAATAGAAAAAAGCTGAAATTCACTCAGAAGTTCAAGAAGGGGCTGATTTTTCTTTTTTTTTTTTTTTTTTTTTTGTATCTCTGCTAAGCACAACGGCCTCTGTGCTCCTCAGTCCTTTATTTTGGATTGCTACTTTGCTTTAAAACATCCCAAGTGTAGAACTGGCCTGGCTGGGCACAACTACAGGGAGAATTTCATATGAAAAGCAAATAAATCAAGGTTGGAATTGTATTTTCAGCAAGTATTTCGCTGCAAATGAACAGTGTGAGAGAGAGTCCAGGCATGAGGGAAGTGTAAACATCACTGCACTTGTCCATGTCTGTGTCTCCATTACAAATGGGAATATTCATTCTTTTTCATTGCTGGGCACATTTTAGCAATTTGTAGATGTTGTGCCACAGGGCACAAGTACAGGGAGAATTTAATATGAAAAACAAATAAGTAAAGGTTAGAATTGTATTTCAGCAAGTATTTCACTGCAAATGAGCAGTGTGAGAGAGAGACCAGGCATGAATCAAGTGTGAACATCACCTGTCCATGTCTGAGTCTCCAGTACAAATGGGAATATTCATTCTTTTTCTTTGCTGGGCACATTTTAGCCATTTGTAGATGTTGTGCCACAGAGATTATTTTTACTCTGAATTTGTTGTGAGAACATAAAACCTTGCCAAAATAATAGTTCAAATGAAGTGTAGCTGGGGTGATGAGAGGGAGCCAAAGCCTCCCATGGCCCCAGGCTGAGCTGGTGCTTGGCTTTGCAGCTCAGGGAGGTGCAGGTGCTCCCTGCCAGGGCAATGTGTGTGTCTGGGGCTCAGTGAGTCCCAGGGCAGTCAGGAGAGCTTTGGGCACATCTGGCAGCCACTGCAGGGCTCTTCAGTAAAGGAATAGGATGCTGGAACTGCTCACCTCACTCTGAGCTCCAAAAATGGATGAGAAGTTGCAGGATAGAAATACTAAATTAGACAAATATTTAGTAGGGAGATCAGCAGAGAGGTTTGGAGGGAATAATTGCCAGGACTTGGAAGTAGGATTTGTCTCTGATTCTCAGCAGCAAATCTGTGACAACGATGTGATCCTTTGCTGAATTATTGAAGGTGGGAATTAGGAATCTGCTGGATTTTACAGGGTCCTTTTTTCTCACTGATAACTTGCACAAAAATTTGCTTCAGGGCCACAGTGGGATGGGGATAAAGCAGATTAAGGGATGGGCTGGAGGCAGCCCCAGGCTTGCCTTGTGTTTCGGTGGGTTAGAACCATAATTTACCCCAGACATGCAGGTTGGATTGTTACTCTCTCAAGGACACGGCTGTCTCTGCAAACAGTCCCCAAGGAGGGACTGTCAGCATCCATCGTCTGTCACTCCTGGAGAGCTGTCAGAGCAGCAGGAACAGAAATATTTGTATTTCCCTGGGCTCTGGGGGAAATCACACCTTCCTGCAGGAGGATCTTCCCTTTCTGCAAAGTGATTTACCCTGGTGACGTTTCCAGCCTGGGCAAAGAAATCCTCCTACACCTTGGCCTTGTCCTTGTCGTGGTTTGAAGTGTGGGATGTGATTGTCTGAGACATCTCTGGCCCTGCACTGCCTTTGCCTATTTTTGTTTTTAATTTTTTTTTTTTTTTTTATTTATTACTTTTCATTTCTTAAATATGTCTAGCAACCAAACTGCATGGATATATTTTGCCAATATATTGCATGGATACATTTTTCCAATGTTCTTTAACAGGGATAGAAGGAGCTGAGATCCGACCACAGTTTGGTTTTTTTCCTCCAGCAAAAAAAATCACCATTTTATAGAGTTTATTGATGAGTTCAATCCCTATGGAATCTATTAATATAATTATTATTAAAGACATTTCCAGCCTGGGCAAAGAAATCCTCCTTCACCTTGGCCTTGTCCTTGTCGTGGTTTGAAGTATGGGATGTGTTTGTCTGAGACATCTCTGGCCCTGCACTGCCTTTGCCTATTTTTATTTTTATTTTTATTTTTTATTTTTACTTTTATTTTTTTAATTTTTTATTTTTATTTTTATTTTTATTTTTATTTTTTTTTTTATTTTTATTTTATTTTTTATTTTTATTTATTACTTTTCATATCTTAAATATGTCTAGCAACCAAACTGCATGGATATATTTTGCCAATATATTGCATGGATATATTTTTCCAATGCTCTTTAACAGGGATAGAAGGAGCTAAGATCTGACCACAGGGCTTGTTTTTTCCCCCAGCAAACAAACATTACCATTTTATAGAGTTTATTGATGAGTTCAATCCCTATGGAATCTATTAGTATAATTATTATTAAAGACATTTCCAGCCTGGGCAAAGTAATCCTCCTTCACCTTGTCCTTGTCCTTGTGGTGGTTTGAAGTGTGGGTTGTGTTTGTCTGAGACATCTCTGGCCCTGCACTGCCTTTGCCTATTTTTATTTTTTTTTTATTTTTTATTTTTATTTTTATTTTTATTTTTATTTTTATTTTTATTTTTATTTATTACTTTTCATTTCTTACATATGTCTAGCAACCAAACTGCATGGATATATTTTGCCAATATATTGCATGGATATATTTTTCCAATGTTCTTTAACAGGGATAGAAGGAGCTGAGATCCAATCACAGTTTGGTTTTTTTTTCCTCCAGCAAACAAACATCACCATTTTATAGAGTTTATTGATGAGTTCAATCCCTATGGAATCTATTAGTATAATTATTATGGAGAAATTGTCCTTAACAGTTATTACATGTTTGACATAATTTTACATGTTTTTTAAAGATTTTACTTGGAAAATGCAAGGGCCTTGCAACAAGTCAACTCCAGCAGTTAAAACACAAGCAAGGACATTCTGATAATCCTCCTAATTCCTGGTTGCTCTCAGGAATAATCTGAGTTGGGACCTGACTGTTAATGAACAACACTGTTAATGAACTTTCCATTCCTGCAGCCCAGGGTTCTGTCAGTCCTCTGGCTGAGTGGATGGAAGAAACCCCAGCTCTGGAGATCAACTGCAGTGTTTTTTATTTATATTTTCAGAGACTGCATCATGCTCTGCTGCTTGAACAGTGGCACAAGCTTTGTTGCTGGTTTTGCTATCTTTTCAGTTCTTGGATTTATGGCTTATGAACAAGGCGTGCCCATTGCAGAAGTTGCAGAATCAGGTGAGTTTCCAAAAGCAGATTTCTGAGTTACCAAAATTGCCCAGAGGCTGAGGCCAGAGTTCACAGTCTGTGGATGAGATGACTCAATGGAATTACTGCTGCAGGAAAAGTTCTGAACTATTTTTGCGGCCACACATTTGTGTGTGAAAAAGATGAATGTTGCTGTGCATAGAACCGAAATCATGAATTCAAGGAGTCACAAATTACACAAACTTTCTCCAGCTGAGCATCCAGAATGTTGTTCAGCAGAGATAAACTCAGCTGGGAGCGTTAATCCTCATCTGCATTCCACCTTTTTTCAGTGAGACAGACTGAAATCCACAAATATTTATTCTTTCTGGAAAAAAATATTATAAAGGATATTAAAGAAAAGAAGCTGCGGCTGTTAAAATGAGAAATCAGAAGGGCACACAGGCACAGATTTATGAAAAATTAACCATCCACAACCACCATTGGAGCTGGGCATCCGATGGAAGTTACTCCACACCTTTGTGGCTGTAACATCCCCAAGCAGGAGAAAAAGAGCAGGAGGCTNTGAGGTTGCTCTGAGGAGAAGAATCTCACTGTGGCAACTCACACTTCCTTTTCTCTGATTTCAAATTGTTTGCATCACTTTAGGATGCAAATGTTCCCACAATGGCATTACAGAGCTACTGGCTCATTAAGCTCTACAGAACTTTTGTTTGCTGATTGTACAGTGACCAAAGCTGTAACTTTGTGCCTCTTGGATACTTTAAATTTTGCTGAAAACATCTTTTCCTTGGATAATTTATCCCTTCTTTCCCCAGCTTAATTTATGTATTATCTATATTGATGAATTATATTATTATAATTAATACATATTATATATATTAATATATATAATTAATATATATTAATGCTAATATAATTCACAAATACAGATAATACATAAATATTAAATATTTATGTATTATCTGTATGATATTATTATATAATACAGGAATATATATAGGAATAGCACATAAATATATTATCTGTATTATAATATATTTATTACAATACAGATAATATATTTATATAATATCTGTATTATAATACGATATTATTATTCAATATTATAATATATAGTTATATATTTATTATATATGACATTATATTACATTATATATATATAATACAATATATACATATATAGTATATATAATATATATAATATATATTATATATAATATATATTATATATATAATATATATTATAATACAATATATATATTGTATTACATTATATATATTACATTATATATATATTATATATATGACATTATATTTATTATATATGACTATATATATTTTTGTATATTATATACACAATATATTATATATTTGTGTGCTATAGGAATAGCACATTTTGTCTTTAGAGCATTTATTCACACTGCCTTTTAAATTTGAATAAATAACTCTCCAACAGGAGTAAGATAAATGCAGGTGATTCTGTTTAGGCTGCAATTACTAAAATTGTCTAAAAGCAATTAATGAATGTAATGGGTGAGGTTCTTCTCTAGGAATTCTGTGTCCCTTTAGGTTGAGACTCTAAAGTCCAGCTGGGATGGGGAGGGGAATTTCCCTCTCAGCACAATATTTTTTTGGAGTTTTTGATTTGTAAAAGCTTTTCCAGACCTGCAGAGCCCCGTGTGCAGGTTTGCAGCCAATATTTGGCAGGAGGGGGATTTCTCTGGCTGCTTTCTGAGGCTCTCCCTGCTCTCTGTCCCCAGGTGTGGGTGGATGCTGGCACACAGATCTTCTTCTCCTACGCCATCTGCTTGGGGTGCCTGACAGCCCTGGGGAGCTACAACAACTACAACAACAACTGCTACAGGTAACAACACCCTGCAGCCTGTGGTTCTGCTCCTGGGGTGCCATTGGGAAACACTTCCCTTCCCCTTCTTCCATGGATAACCACAAGCACACACAGCTGGTTTGGTAGGACAGAGATCTGTAATGTTCCTTGGAATGGCTCCAGAGGAGCTCTGATCCAAAATGTGGTGTTTTCATCCCTTTTGGTCAAATCTGAGCCTTCCACAACCCCTCAGCACACTCAGAGATAGAAATTTCCTGTGAAAATACAGGATATCATTGAATGTGTGTGCATTACTTAAGCTGCTCTATGAAAAGTACTACCAGAAATTATCATTAACAATCACCTCAGTATGGTCCATGCTCTGACTGCCACTTTTCCCCATTTTTTGGGACATTTGCAGTCCCCAACCCAAAGGGAATGGGGGGCATTTCATGGCTTATCTCTGTATTCCCATAGGTGGTTTTGTAGGACAGAAATCTATAATTTTCCTTGGAATGGCTCCAGAGGAACTCTGCTCTAAAATGTGGTGTTTTCATCCCTTTTGGTCAAATCTGAGCCTTCCACAGCCCCTCAGCACACTTAGAGATAGGAATTTCATGTAAAATACAGGATTTCAGGCAGGTATCATTGAATGTGTGTGCATTACTTAAGCTGCTCTATGAAAATACTACCAGAAATTATCATTAGAAATCACCTCAGTTTGGTCCATGCTCTGACTGCCACTTTTCCCCATTTTTTGGGAAGTTTGCAGTCCCCAACCCGAAGGGAATGGGGGGCATTTCATGGTTTAGCTCTGTATTCCTATTCCCATAAGTACACACAGGTGATTTTTAGTAGGACAGAGATCTATAATGTTTTTTTGGAAAGGCTCCAGAGGAACTCTGCTCTAAAATGTGGTGTTTTCATCCCTTTTGGTCAAATCTGAGCCTTCCACAGCCCCTCAGCACACACGGATATAGAAATTTCATGTAAAAATGCAGGATTTCAGGCAGGTATCATTGAATAACTCCCTCTCAAACCACCACACTGTGTGCATTACTTAAGCAGCTCTTTGAAAAGTGCTACCAGAAGTTGTCATTAAAAATGTTTGATCTGTGCTCTGACTGCCACTTTTCCCCATTTTTTGGGACATTTGCAGTCCCCAACCCAGAGGGAATGGGGGGCATTTCATGGCTTATCTCTGTATTCCTATAGGTGGTTTTGTAGGACAGAGATCTGTAATGTTTTTTGGAATGGCTCCAGAGGAGCTCTGATCCAAAATGTGGTGTTTTCATCCCTTTTGGTCAAATCTGAGCCTTCCACAGCCCCTCAGCACACACAGAGATAGAAATTTCCTGTGAAAATACAG